ATAAAGTCACATTTATTTAGGTCACAAATAATCACAAGTTCATTTTGATGACGATAATTCTTCTGATTCACTTGAAATTTTTTTATTCTTCTCCTTGTTTTTTTCAATTAAAGCTTTTTTACTAGCTTGTAACTCTTTTTTATTTTTTTAATTGCTTAGCAATTTTTTCTTCTAATAATTCGTTCTTTGATATAACCGTTCACTAAAAAAATTAGAACAAAATAAAATTTAATAATCAAAAAAGATTTTTAAGTATTATTTTAATAATAAATATACATTTTATAATCATTATTTTTATATTTACAAAATATTTAATGACTATAAAGTACTTTAAACACTTGACAGATTTAATTTTGAGGTGAAGAAGTTAGTATTATAAATATACGGTGATTAATTGGATTGTGATAAAATCAGAGGATCTAATAAATGACCGAATGAATTTTTTACTGGGTAAAGGACTTGTGACGGATCCAATAGTTGACCGGTCTTAAAATAATATTAAAACTTATAATTTAACTTTATTTTTTCAAAAAAGTTGGAATTTCGATCTTTAATTAACATAATAAAACTAAAATATTTTATATTATGCCGATAAATATCACTAAATTAATGATGAAATGCTCTCACTCTCCAATTGTACGCTAGTTATTTTTGACCGCTTTATGGCTGGTTGCGTTGTAAACAAACTCAGAATATTTTTTTAAAGCTATAATCACTGCGCAATTAATTGCGTTATTCTTTATTATGATGATTAAATGCCATATATTTTTATTTTAATACTTTAAGAAAAAAAAAAAACCCTTGTAAAATATTAATTAATTAACTTTTTTATACATCGGTCAACAACTGGTGCATTTACCCTATAAATTTAAAGAAAAATAATTTTTTCCATATTTATTTTGGCTGTAGCTTGTTTAAAATTTTAAGTAATTAATTTAAAAAAATATTTTCTTCATACTAATGACAAAAATTAATCAATTGCAGGTAAAACCCGAACAAAAGATAAATACCGAGTAGTATACACAGATCACCAGCGGCTGGAGCTGGAAAAAGAGTTTTATTGCAGCAGATACATAACAATCAGACGAAAAGCTGAACTAGCTTCGCATTTAGCGCTCTCGGAACGACAGGTAAGCAGCAAACTATCTCAAAACATTTAAAATCAACAAAAAAACAAGCAGACATTTAAAACGAGAATTAATTAACATGTTTATGTTGAAACGACAGGTGAAAATTTGGTTCCAAAACCGTCGCGCCAAGGAGCGTAAACAAGTAAAGAAGCGTGAAGAACTCGAACAAAAAGACGTTAAGCCTAATATACACCAAGAAGGTCTTCAAACACCCGGCGGAATGGTCACTCTTTCAGCTCTGAGTGGGATGAGCGGGATGCTGAGTGGTTTGATGCACAATGGCAACTCGCCGCCTCTAAATCTTGGACCTACGTCACACAGTTTAGGTCTCACTCACACCAGTTCATCTATTCATTCACATGCACACCAACATGTCCACTCCCACAGTGTTCTTGGATTGTGACCCGAAAATCATCTCGGCAGTGCCGAGTCTTGGTCTACCCCCAACTGGTCGGGTTAACAGTTTACTTAGCTTCTCAATTTTATTTTACATTAGTTGTAATTAATACTGCAGATTACACGGTAGAGAAAAAGGAAAAAATTACATTGTTAAATATATTGCTTTATATTAAACAACGGGAAAAATTACAATTACAAGGATTTGTTTATAGTTAATAATTAACAAATCATTTATTAGAGACCACTTTTTACCCAACAAATATTTTTCTTAGTATTTAAAAAAATTTATTAATATTTTAAATACTAAGAAATATTTTTTTAATACTAAAAAGTCGTCTCTAATAAATGATTTGTTAAATATTAAAAAAATATTTTTAACTATAAACAAATCTTTCTATCAGTGAAAATTTTAATTATTTAAGGACCGTCTAAAAATTAAAATGCAAAATGTAAAGTTTGAATTTTTTAATTCGAACTTATCAAGCTCTCAACAATTTTTAAATTACATTATATCGATGGTCTAATTAGCAATTGGTCTAACTCCTCTAATTTTTTAGAGGGTACACAGTAAAAAATTTTGCGTCAAAAAACTTAGAGTTAAAAATTTTTGTGTCAAATATTTAACATAAAAATTTTTAACACAAAATTTTTTGACGCAATAACGTAAAATTTTTTATTGTGTAATTTTTTAACATTCTCATACTGCAATAGTCCAATTATAAATTATTTGAATAATTCAAACCAAAATATTATATCTTGATTAGATATTAATGATAAAAAATGGTTTTTTAAATTGATATTAAATTTTTGAATCAATTGTTTTTTTATACAAATGGAAGATTCTCTAAAATGGAGTTAGACAATTTGCTATATAATTAGAACGTCGATATAATGTAATTGGAAAAAATTGTATCATGTAACGTGATGCTTTATAGACTGAAAAAAAAAAATTCTTGACTCAAGGGTAAATTTTCTTGGCTCAAGAAAATATTAAGGAAGATTAAAAATTTTCTTTAGCCAAGAAAATTTCTTGCTCCAAAATAAATTTTTTCTTTCTTAAAATTTTTTTACCTTAAGAAGTATTTTTTTCTGTGGATAAAAAAACTGGAAAAAATACAATAGTAATTTATTATTAATTCAAATAGTAATTTAACGAACCTTGTAAAAATTATAATGCAAAATGTAAATATTAGATTTAAAGCTGTAATTTTTCTAGTTTTAAATTTGAAGCGACACTTATTAATATTTAAAATAAGGCTTTTACCTTATAATGTAATTTTTTCCTTTTTTTCTTTTTTTTCTCTGTGTTATTCACAATCCTCCGGAAGGGTAAATTTGTAAATATTTTTACCGAACGAATATTATTGCTTGGTTTTGAAAACTTAAGTATTAAGTGAAGACAAAATTATTTTGTTTTTTTTCTTCATTTTTTACCGCTTTTTTCCTTTTGATTTTCAAAGCCTAGGGGCAATATTTCGTCCAAGCCTTTTTAGAATTGTAAAAATAAATTAAATGTTAAAAGTGAGAAGAAATAAAGACCAAGATATGAACACTTACTATTATTATAATTATAAATAACTATTGTTAACGCGTCCGATAAATATCGTAGATTTATTTATGAGAAAGATTTGAACAATACTCAATCTGTTCTGTTTGTTTATTATTCATTATTCAATAGTAAAATAGTATAGGTTTTAATATTAATTGTACTTGGTTAATTTATTCTGCGTATTACACTAAAAAAAAAAATTGACTTGATTTTTTTACTTTAATCAAGACAATTAAATTCTTCAAAATAATTTTTTCGATTCAAGAATTTCTTTTTAGTATATTAATTAAATTTTGGAGAGTAATTAAAATTTTTAAATTTATAAGATAATTCTCTAAATCAAATTATTTTTTACTGTAAAAATAATTTTTGATTTCTAAAATGTACACAGTAAATTTATGTAAAAATTTTTTGTTAGATATTAAATATTATTTGTGTTAATTTGATACACTTTGCAAAAAATTAATGCACTGAAGTGTTAAATATTTAACATAAAAATTTTTTACTATAAAAATTCAATTATTTTCGGTAATTATTTACAAGAATCAACCCATTTTTTTTTTTAAATCAAATAGAACAATTTTTCTTTAATTATTTGTTTCTTTATATAATTTCCAAAAAAAAAAAAATCAAAAAAAAAAAAGATAAAATTGAAATTTTATCCAAAAACTTGAACTTCAAAATTTTTTCCAACTTTTGAAGGCAAAAAAAGCTATCAAAAATTTTATTTTTTTCTCACAATATTTTTCATCATAAACAAGTAGTATAAAAAAAAGGTTGAGCCGACTTGTAAATAATTGCCTTATTTTTTAACTGAAAAATCTTTGTCTTGTTAAAAATTCTATTTATTGTAAATAATAAAACTAATGAATTTTAACAATTAAAGATTATTTGTCAATTCAGAATTTTAATTAAAGGAGTAGAAAAATTTTAAAGAAATTGTCACCATAAAAATTGCTTGATTTTGTAAAATAATTTTGCTTTGAGCCGTAAAGTATTTCATAAAAAATTGTAACATCTAAATTGCTGCCCAATTTTAAAACACAACTGCAAAATTTTTATTTAGTATTGCTGAATTTCTTAAAACTTTAAGACTTTAATTTCAAGTTTTTTTTTTTTAATTTATATTCAAGTATTTTCAAGTATTTATAAATAAAATTTTTTATCAATTAGGCGAGCAAACTTTTTTTTTTAACTAGATAAATTAAAAAATTTTCAAACTGTGTTTTGAAATTGGGCAGCCGTAAAACTTTGTATAATTGAATAGTGATATAATGAATTTGTTATGGCTTCTAAGTATATTCAAAGAATTATTAATGTAATATAGTTTATGATAATTGATAAAATAAATTGTACATAAAAAATCTATCATAAGATATTTAGACTAATTGTAAATTCACTTGAAAAAAAATAGTTAGAATATTATATTATATATAATTAATTAGCTAACAAAAAAAAAAACTATTTTTGTATTAAAGTAATAATTTGTTGTAATTATTGAACATTTTTTACGGCAGTGAAAACAAATTGTTTGAACTGATTCATAATAGTGTACATAAGTTTGTAATAAGAAGAAATATTTTGAAGTTTGTTTATCAAAAAACTTTGTTGAAAATGAATATTTCAACGTTGTATTGTTAATTAATTTTTTTTAGTAATAATTATATGTTTAATCATGGTGCAATTAATAATAGATAGAAAAATTAAAGTAAATTGTAAAAATAAAATAAGCTTATAAAAATGTATAAAATGGTTTCAATAAATATTGAATGTAAGTTTTAAGTAAGATATAAATATATAAATAGATCCTTAGTTTTATATTTTATGTAGTAAAGTTTATTTTTAAACTTTGTATGAGTTGTCAAGTTTTAAACGAAAAAAACCGAAAAGAATTGGTGGATAAAATAAAAAATAAAAAATCTAAAGTGGTGTAAAGAAAATAGAGTAAAAAAATGAAATAAAGTACGTTGTGGTAGAATTACCGAACAGTACCGCGAGTTGGCAAAGTTGAAGAGGGGTACGTGTTAGATGAAGTAGTAAGGGTCAGACATCGATCTGGTAGTTAACTCAAGAGCACCCGCGGGACTCGTTATCGCTATTTCCAACGCGTCCTAGCGTTTCCAAACGATTCACTACCAAACATTTATTCTTGACATTCACATTAACTGCGTGGTATGTCTTTTTTATTTTAGCATTATCTTATAAGTAATAATTGCTACAAGTATTTTAATCACGTTTACTTACTAGTCTAAAAATGAATTTGTCAATTTAAAATTGAAGAAAATTTTACAAAGTGGAAGGATACTTTTAAAAATTTTAGATAAAAAATTTTGATTAGAAATTCATATGATAAAAATTGTGAATATTTTACATTAAAAAGAAATAACCACTTTTTAATTATAAAATAGTTTTTGATTTTTACATACTGATAAGCAAAGGTTGGATAAAAAAAAAAATTTTGGTGTGCATATTCAAATATACCGTCAATATTTTGCCAGCATTTTGATGTAAACTATGCAGAGCAGCTTGACTCCCGGTCAGTAAATTATGGCGCAGAAAAGTAGGGACAGGAATTTTAAAGAATTGTTTTACTAGGATGTTAAAATTTTGCTCAATCTAACTGATGATTCAATGACTGATTAATATTTTGATAATCAACTAAAAACAAGAATAAAATACTTACCTAGATAGCGCCAAAGTTTCTCAGCGAAAAATTTGTAGTAAATTTGACGTCAACCTTACGACAAGCGTTGCTGGGTAAAATGTTATTGCATGATCATTGAACCGCGAAATTTGATGCCAATTTCTCCGCAATACTTTTGAAGCTAAACCTTATGGAAAACACTCGGATTACTTAACAGAAGCTTGATGCTAATTTGTATTACATTTGTGGCCGTAAGTTTTCATTAAATTGTATACAACTTTGATTCAGAAAGACTTACCGTAAACTTTACTACAATAATTCTACAAAAATATACTAAACTGCATGTTCTTGTAGTAGTTGAAGTTAACTTAACGTCAAGCTTACTATAATTTTTCTGAGTAACAGTTGTATATAAATTGATGAAAATCTACGGCCGTAATTTGAATGCAAGTTAAAACATCAAGCTTAAAGCAAGCAGTTTCACTCTGCAGTTTGACATCAAGACTTGCTGTGCAACTATTTCAGTCTAGTTGTAGTAAAGTTGACTCAAAATTTAATTTGTTTGTTAGCTTGCATTCAAATTCCGGCCATAGATTTTCAATCAATTTGCTTACAACTGTTATTCAGTGAAGAATTACTGTAAACTTAATGTTCAGATTAATACATATATTGTTATAAATTTAAAGATAAAATATTCAAGAGAATAATAACGTTATAATAATTCATAAATAGTTTAATAATTAAAATTGTACCTGATCTGTTGATAGTTTTCGTTGGTTTGTTTAAAATTAGATTATTTACTTAAACTTAAATTCACTTCAAAAACAATTTATTTTAATTTCATACACGAGGTTTCAGTGAAACTTAGAAAAACTTTACGACGATGTTAACACAAGGAATTCAAGGACTTTGGGTCCTTACCCCCTCTCTTAAGTTTGTCTAAAAGTTACGCATAAGTTCTCTCTACTCAGGTCAGAGTGCAATATAGTTTTTTCACTCTTATGTTCTATTATACATCTATTATACAACAACATTTATCAATTTTTCGTAATGATTTAAAATTTAATTGTTTAATATTTGTTCATTTTAAATTGTTCAACTATCAAGTTCTATTCTTTAAATTGTTTAATATTCAGTTTTTTGTTATTCAATATTCTATTTTTTATCTGAAAATTATTTAAAAAAAAACATCGTTTAAATTTGATCTAGACATTTTGTCTCAATATTGAAATTCTGTAATTGATATACTGTAAACCTTTTCTGTTGTAACCCTTCAGGACATGGACTATGAGATTTTTTCTCATGCTCAACTTCAATTTCAAATATTTTTTAAATTTCAAATGGAAAAGCTACTTGAAAATTTTTGTATCTTCCTATAATTAAGTTTTCTAGACGCACATACAATAAAAACTTTTTTTTTTTTAATTAAAAATAATAAAAAAAAAATTTTTTTTGGACGACATGAGATTTTTTCTCATGGCCAGAGTATTAAAAGGTGAGAGATTTTAGCTTTCGTTTCATATTCGGCCGAGTTCGGTTCATTTCGCAGTCCGCATCCGCCATATTTTTATTTACGTGACACATAACCGCCAAAATGATAGTTCTATTATTTTTCTTAATTAATAATACTCTAACAATAAATTTAAACTTAATTAATTACTCATTAATTATTTTATAGTCTAAAAACATTAAAAATAAAAAATAAATGACGTTTTTGTAAGAAAACTGAATTTAAATTATTCTATGCGCATGCGCAGAAGCCATGAAATTTTTTCTCATGGCCAGAGTAAATAAGGTGAGACAAATCACCCATGTCCTGAAGGGTTGTTAAATAACGTCTAAATAGAATCATTTTATTTAAAATTATTCCTTTTCCGCGCTGAAACCGAGTATTTTAAGTATTTTAATACTCCCGGGCGGAAGAACTACAGTAAGTAAAGTTTTCAATAAATAAAAATAACATCCACTAGATGGAAGCATAACAATGTATTGAGATGGGATTTTTCAATTTTTCATACTCATCAACGATAATATAAATTTCTCTTGCTACAACTTTCTTACCGGCTGGTGTTATGTCAAAAATTTCAAATCCCGCGCAAAGTATAAATACACCTTGTCTCCTCATGTATCAAAATAACATGGCGTCAATATGTGACCGGCGACAAGATAAACACAAGTTATATTGTTGATTTTACGTGAATTATTGCAAAAACCACTGAAATTAAAATTTTTAATAGTAATTTGAATTATTTTAATAAATATCAGTAATTTAAACTAACAAATATGGATCAATCAACGTCAAATTATTCCATGCTCAATTATTCCGGTAATTATAACCTCAATTTTGCTAACAATTTCTACTGGTTTAATGATTATAAATTATAATTGATAATAATGAGTTAAAAAATATGAATATTTTTATTTTTTTTTTTTAATAAATAAATTAAATATTGATGAAGTAATGGAAATTAAGTTAGTCGACATCTAAAAATTAAAAAAAATTTTTTTTTATTGAAAAAATTGTAACAAAAAAAATAAAAAAAATTTCATTCGTAAAAAACTTTGAAAACTATAAGTGCAATTTTTAAAGAATATTTTTTAGTTCTAATTTAATAAATGAAAAAAAAATCGAAAAATTAAAAACGTCGGCTAACTTAAGTATTTTATTGAAGTAGTATGAAAAATATAGCAATTACACATCTTTACTCAAAATTACTCAACTCTGCGACATAGTTTACTCAGTTCCAACTGTATTTCGTGAAATCTTTATTCAATGGTATTTTATAAGTGATGGCGCGCTTTTAAACATCTCTATTCAATTATTTTTTGTTTAATAATATGTTTACTTTAAATAAGTTAAAAAAAAAATTTACTTAGTAATTTTATTTTTAAAAAATAAAATTCTATTGTTTTACAATCTTTATTGAATGTCAACTTTACTCAATTACATGTAATTTATATATCTATACCTATATAGTAAAAAATTTTTTTTTTAATTGATTAAATTATTTTATTGGAGTACAGATTGCACAGAGCTGAGAAATTTTGAGTACAGTTTTGTTTTTGCCGAATAAAATATTATTAAATAAAAAAATATTGAATAGAGATTTTTAGAAACGCGCTATCACTTATAAAATACTATTGAGTGAAGATTTCATGAAATACAGTTGGAACTGAGTAAACTTAGCTTTGAGTAAAGTTAGCATTGAGTAGTGAATGAATTGAATAAAGTTTTTTTTTTTTGAAAGTTATTCAATTTTTTTTGTTGAGTACAGTATGTCGCCGAGTTGAGTAATTTGGAGTAAAGATGTGTAACTACTGAATATTTTGAAACCCGAAAAAATTTTAAACTTATAAAAAATTCATACTATTTCATTAAAATTATTATAAAATAAAAATTATAATAATAAAATTAAAAAAAAAATTTTTTTTGTAACAAAAAATGGAGCGATCATTCTGGGGGTGCTTATTTTTCAGGAAATTTTTGGGTGTAATGTACAATTATTATTGTTATTCTTATTTTATAATAATTTTAATGAAAAAATATGAATTTTTTAATTTTTTCCGATTACCGAAAATTTTATTGAAACCCTTATTCAAAAATTACGTAATAATAATTAAAAAAAATTAACATATGTCTGTAAATTTCAATCTCATTATTTAAAAATAAATTAAATTCAAAGTACCCTTAAATTTTTTTTATTAACTAAAAAACTTATCAGAAGTTTTATTTTAATTTATAAAAATAAAATTCATCTAATAAAAAAAAATTTCAGTGGATCGTTCGCGGCTAAGAAGCCATCTGGACGAGTCCGACACCTCAGTATTTCCCGACAAGAGTAACTGGTCATTATTCGAGCTGATGGAAGACAGCGCTTCAACAGGGTTGATTTTAAAATCCGAGAAGCCATGGCGTAAAGTAGCATCAAATCTTTACCAAGAATTTTTAGAAATAATCCAGTCACATTCCTCGGAGCCCCAAGTTTTTGACACGATCGCGGACTTTGTCCAGAATTGCACTCACGCTTTAGAAGTAATGCGAGACATGCAATCAAAGGTCGAGAACACTGAGCTTTGCGAAGAAGAAATAAGCTTGACCAATGAGCGAAACACCTGGCGGCTTTTGTACTGTCTCTACAAGAACCGACTAGCCTCCCACTCGCAGATGGACACCGACGCTAATGGCAATAACTACGTCTCGGAAAAAGACGTGATAACAAACTTGCTGAGCAGCGAGAGCCAGGTTCGCGAGTACCAGCTGATAATTGACTGGCTGGAGAAGAACGCTTGTGATGAGCTAGAGTATCTTCCTAAAATTGAACACTTTACTGATAAAACCGTCGCTTGGGAAAACACACTTCATCAGTTGCAAAATCAACAGTCGGGAATTACCTTTGGCTCGAGCAGACCGCTGGTTACTTCTTTGGATCCCGATGCGCCGATCAGGGAAGGCAAACCTTTGCACGACCTTGACAGAGAAGACGATGCGCGGCTTGAGAAAAGAATGTTCTTGGAGGTTCGCTGTGGAAGACTTCAGCGGGCTCAAGAGTTGGCGATTCACTGCGGGCAACCTTGGAGGGCTGCTTGCTTGCTTGGTTGGCAGCCTCATCATGATCCTAATTACAAGAATCCACTTGTTGATACGAAATTACCGATAGAGGGAAATCCTAATCGAGCACTTTGGAAACTTAATGCCTGGTACATGTCTCAGGATACTCGTCTGGGTGCGTTTAACCGCGCGATTTATGCCAGTCTTTGTGGGAATATTACTCAGCTGTTGGCGGTTTCGAGGAGCTGGGAAGATGCTCTTTGGTCACATGTTAAGGTAGATATTTTACTTGAATTTTTTATTTTAAAAAAAGGAATTAAGGAAATTCGAGGCAAAATTTAAATAATTAATTGAATTTAAAAAATTTAATAGTTTTTTTTTTTTTATTAATTTTATAAATAATAAGATCAAGTAACAATTGAAATTTTCTTACTAAATTTTGATCTTAATATTATGTTATAAATTATAAATTTTAAATAATCTATAATAAGAGAATAAGAAAAATGTTGTCTCCAGGATATTCAAATGATAAAATCGGTTTTTTTAGTGAAATTTGGTGTCATTGCAAAGGTTTTAGTTTGAATTTCTGCCTTTTCAAGGTCTCATATCGATTCTCACCAGTCAATTTATTATAAGTATTTAGGCTGCATTTGAAAATGCTCTGATGCATTTGAAATGCTCTATCTCTAGATACATAATTAAGAAATTACCTTGAATCTTGTGAACTATTGACATTTATAAAGATTTAAGCTCATCACGATGTAATACTCATCGAGACCTTTCATTTGAGTACCCACATCAATTTTTCATATATATATATATATATATGAAAAATATATGAAAATACATGTGGGTACTCAAATGAAAGCTCTTGATGAGTGCATCATCAGGATGAGCTTATATTTTTAAAAATGTGAATAATAAAGCAATGACCTTGTATCTTGTAAAATATTGATATTTTTAAAGATATAAGCTCATCCCGACATTACACTCATCAAGACCTTTCATTTGAGTACCCACATCAATTTTTCATATATTTATATATTTATATATATTAGATATATGTATATATGAAAAATATATGAAAATGCATGTGGTACTCAAATGAAAGCTCTTGATGAGTGTAACATCGGAATGAGCTTGTATCTTTAAAAATGTTAATAATTAAGAAATTACGTTATATCTTGTTAACTACTGACATTTTTAACGATATAAGCTCATCTTGGATATACACTCATCGAGACCTTTCATTTGAGTACCCACATCAATTTTTCATATATTTATATAAATTAGATATATGTATATATGAAAAATATATCAAAATACATGTGGGTACTCAAATGAAAGCTCTTGATGAGTATAACATCTTTAAAAACGTCAATATTTAAGAAAGTACAGTGCAATTTAACAAAAGTTATTATTTAATAACGCAAAATTTTATTTATTTATAGTTCACAAGTTACGGCAGTCACATAGCGACTGCAAGGTTGCTAATGTAAAATTATTCTAAGTAATTTTCAAATGAACAAAAATCTAACCGCTTATTCATACTTACTCATATTATCTTTTTAAAATATCAAATCTTGTATTTGATTAATTTGTTAGTAATGAAAATTATGCTAAAATGTCATCTGAAAAAAGAAATAAAATTATTTAGTCAAGTTTTTAATTAGGTTATTTTTAAAAAAATGAATTCAACAAAAAAATAATTTTTTTTCATTCAATTAAAAATTAAAAAATTGAAAAAATAAATTATTATGATCAGTGTATTAATTATTAATATCATTATGTATATCATGATATATTAATATCATTATATATTTTTTATATTAAAGGTATTGATGGACATTGAAGTAGAATCAGAACTTCGCGGAGTAGTACCAAAAAATTACGTCGCTATGCCAGACGAATACTGGAAATCAAAGCTAAACTTGGAAGAAATCTTCAACGACCTTCACTCCTCCAAGGAAGCTATAATAATGAAGCTATCAAATACACCTGACCATATGATCCAAAAGTACTTAATATTAGACCAAGTTCCTCAGCTGATGGAAATAATCGAAGACTGGATTGACAGTGACCAGTGCAGACCTCAATTCTTGAGGTTCCTCGCGCACTTAGTACTATTTTTGCGGCAAATCGGTAAAATTGGCAATCAAAGTGACAAAGTTGGAGACAAAGTTCTACTCGCGTATGTGAAATTGCTGATTGAAATCGGGGAGCCGACTTTGGTGGCCTTTTACACCGCTACGCTCCAGCAGGAAGAACAGGTGACTTATTATGCCCAGTACTTGGAACGTATAAGAGGTACTGAGATGAGGAAACAGTGTCTCACGGCTGCTGAAGATGCAAATCTAAATGTAGAAGCTGTTACTAAGATGGTCGTTGAGAATATTCGGGGAAAGAATGTCGAGGATGTTGACAAGTTAGATATGTTGGGAAGCAAGATCACGGAGTTTGATTTGGAGAAGATTGACGCGCTGGAGTGGATGACTTTCTATCCCAATCAAAGAGAAGAAGCTCTTTGGCAAGCTAATGCTCTTATTAGATATTTTCTGACGTGTGATAAGATTGATGCTGCCAGACAAGCTTTTGATAAGGTGAGTTATATTTATTTATAAATAATAATAATAAAAAAATTAAAAAAAAAATACTAATTTTTTTAAATTGAAATTATTATTATTATTATTATTATTATTATTATTATTATTGTTTTCTTATATTTTGCTGTATCGAATAATGACTTTTGTTAAATTGCACTGTACGTTCTTAACTATTGACGTTTTTAAAGATATAAGCTCATCCCGATGTTACACTCATTAAGAGCTTTCATTTGAGTACCCACATGCATTTTCATATATTTTTCATATATACATATATATGATACATATAAATATATGAAAAATTGATGTGAGTACTCAAATGAAAGGTCTCGATGAGTGTAATATCAGGGTGAGCTTATATCTTTAAAAATAATACATTAATTGACAATACAATGTCATTTCTTTACTATTAACGCTCTTGATGAGTGTAACATTGGGATGAGTTTATATCTTTAAAAATGTTAATAATTAAAAAATTACACTGTATCTTCTAAACTAATGACATTTCTAACAATATAAGCTCATCCCAATGTTACACTCATCAAGATCTTTCGTTTGAGTACTCACATGCATTTTTGATATATTTTTCATATAGACATTTATATATATAATATATATAAATATATGAAAAATTGATGTGGGTACTCAAATGAAAGGTCTCAGTGAGTGTATCATCAAGAAGAGCTTATATTTTTAAAAATGTCAATAGTTCACGAGACACAATGTCATTTCTTAATTTGTTTTTTCTATAAAAATTTTTTTTTTATTAAACATTATTCAAAAATAATATTTTTGAACATTTAGATCCCAGCAGACACAATTGGATTGGTAATGATGGACCAGCCGTCAATGGAAAATACTTTCGTTGACCAAACAGTAACCGAAGACTTGAACCACCATAAATCTTCAGCATCTATCCGCGAGTACCTCTGTTTTAAGGCTTACCTAGACGCACAGGAGGGTTTCCAAGAGTGGTTCAGACATTTTCACCACGGAAAACCCATACCACTGGAGCCACTACCAATGTATGCTACGTTTACCGAAAAAGTCGCCTACGACCACAAAAAAGCTGAGTATCAAGCCAACCTAGAAAACTGGAAGGCTACCATGCAGCGTCACACAAAAGTAATTTTATTATTAATTATTATTAATCTAGTCATAAAAAAAATTATTCAACCATATTAATTATATTTATTAATTATCTCCAGGCCGTTAAGCAGCTGCTATTCAACGTTCTTCTGTTTCCCGACGGAGGTTGGCTGGTCGACAGAATATCAACAATGCCGCCAGACCACCTCCGCAAGCACCAGCTCTTAAAATTGCGGAGTCTGTGTATCCCCAAAATAACGCTGCTGTTGATAAATGTCATGTCGGAGATGAACGAGCATGCCGAGTGCATTGAACTTGCAGATACTCTCGCCTCAGAACGGTACCAGCTGTACAAAGTATTCCCGAAAGAACGTTTGCGAGAAGTCTACAGGAAAATATGTGAGTCGTCTCTTGTTCTTATGGATCAAAAAAAAGATGCATGGGGTTATTCTAAATAAATTATAAATATTTCCGTATAATTATAATTATTATAATTATCGTTATATTTATAGTTACAATAATCAATAATAATTAATTATATTAATCAATGATAGGTTTAATTAATTAAGCTACAATTTAAATAATAAATTTGATACATGGTTTTTTTTTTAATCGTCAATGAGTTTACAAAACGAGTTATTTATTGTCAACCACACGAAGTGAATATAAAATTTCATACATTGTTAATTAATCATAAATATGTTTGTGAATAAATCGTAATAATAGCAACAATCAAGGTAGCCAATACAACAAGTTAGATAGTAATTTTATTTTTTTTTTTTTTATATTATTAATAAACACATTTAATAAAGCTCATTCGTGGATAAGAATTATATTTTTTATTCTTTTGGTTGACTTTTTAAATCCGGTTATTTTAAAACACTTGTGAGCTACGCTACGATGGCTGGGTCTGGACGAAAGATTCGTTCATTTTTTTTATTTTTATATATATTTATGTGTATATATATATATATAAGATATTGATGATGAATGTTGAATTGAGTGATACAGTAATAAGTTGAAGGGATAAATAGCGTGCCTCGTTTATAATTGCAAAAGGCAGCGCAATATTAATATAAATAAAAAAAGGTTTATTAAAACGTAATAAAAAGAAAATATTTTTATCTAATTTTCTATTACATACTTCTTCTACGTATGATATATAATATATTTTTTTATTATCATTATATACTTATATATTTAATGTATATTGACAAAAATTTATTTTTTTTTTTTTTTTTAGAGAGACTAATGATTCAGATCTTATTTATTGTTTTGATATTTTGTAATTTGTAACAAATTAGTAGAGTAAAAAAATTGAAGAATTCAATTTTTTAATTTTCATTAAAATATTAAAGATTGGAAAAATTTTTTAATGTGCCTTTCCATGGTTTCATATAGTCAATTTATGATGATAAGTATTTAGGCTGCATTTAAATATGCTTTATCTTTAGATGCATAATTAAGAAATTACCTTGTATCTCGTGAACTATTGGCGTTTTTAAAGATATAAACTCATCCCGATGTTATACTCATCGAGACCTTTCATTTGAGTACCCACATCAATTTTTCATATATTTTATATATTTATGTATATGAATATATGAATATATGAAAAATATATCAAAATGCATGTGGGTACTCAAATAAAAGCTCTTGATGAGCGTAACATCGGGATGAGCTTGTATCTATAACAATGACAATAATTAAGAATTGACATTAGTATCTTGTCAACTACTGACATTTTTAAAGATATAAGCTCACTTCGACATAACACTCATCAAGACCTTTCATTTGAGTACCCACATCAATTTTCCATATATTTTATATATTATATACATGTTTATATGAAAAATATATCAAAAATGCATGTGGGTACTCAAATGAAAGGTCTTAATGAGTGTTATGTCGGAGTGAGCTTATATCTTTAAAAATGTCAATAGTTAAGAAATGACCTTGGATCTCGTGAACTATTGACATTTTTAAAGATATAAGCTCACTCCGACATAACACTCATCAAGACCTTTCATTTGAGTACCCACATCAATTTTTCATATATTTTATATATTTATATATATTATATATATGTATATATGAAATATATATCAAGAATACATGTGGGTACTCAAATGAAAGCTCTTGATGAGTGTAACATCAGGATGAGCTTATATCTTTGAACACTTAAACAGTTAAAAAAGTACAGTGCAATTTAACAAAAATCACTATTTAATAAAGCAAAATTTTATTTATAGTTCTAAAATCACGGAAGTTACATAGTGACTGCAAGGTTGCTAGTTTGATATGAAATTTGATATGATTAATTACTTTGATATGCGATCTAGTAAAATTGTCTAAAATAAATAAGATCTGATTCATTGAATCTCAACAATCAATATTAAGTCGAAACATTTAATAATTAACTACAATTAACCACCTCTCCCATTTTGATCCTTTTTGCCTTAAATGGATAATTATTCGTTCTTTAACCCGAGTTTTAAAACACCGTGTGTTATCGAGAAGCAACTATTTATCTTCAATAATAATTTACAAACAATAAACCTGTTAATTTAAAACCCTTAAACCTTTAATATAGTAATTAATAATTAATAATTAATTATTAATAATTCAACATAGAATATACAAACAAAATTTACTAGTTCTGTGCGTATTGAATGCTTCATAAGCTTTTATTTTATTCAATTATTTTAAATGATTTGTAATTAATGATTTATCTTCTCATCAACCACGGTGAGGTCTTATGATCGTTTTATATTATTATTATTATTATTATTATTATTATTATTATTATTATTATTATTATTAATTATTAAGTAGTTTTATTTTAAATATTAATATTAGTGTTTAATTTTACTTTTTACACTTTAATAATATTTATAGCAAAAGACGCTTATTGTCTATTTGATAAATTTATTTAAATAATTATTTATCATTTTTCCCTAAGAAGCTATAGCAAGTCTGGACTCTGCCGAGCTGCTCCCAATCTTCTATTATTTTTTATTTTTTATTAATATTAATTCCAATTAATAGCATTGATAGTACAGAGCAGCACTGACTGGTAATCCGGGTACTTGATGAGTAAATTTTATTATTGTCAAGTTCACAGAAGTAGGAGATTTATCCGCTTAATTTCTAATTATGTTACTTAACTTTTTTTTAGTCAGTTTATTTAGTTGTTACTTCATCGTCGTAAGTTTGTCCGCAAAGATTTTATATTTTATCAAGTGGACAAACATCCCTACTTTCATCACTTTTTATATTGTCTTAATTATCTCGTTTATTGTCCGAAATTGTCGTACTTCGACATTATTTATTTTGTTAATTTTATTTATTTTATTGTCGCTTGATTATAAACAAGTATTATGTTGATTATTTTTATTGTTAATTAAATTGAAGCTAATTTTAAATAAAATATCTGTTAATTTTTTTTTTTTTAATGAAAAAAAAAAGGTGAATAATTATTTTGTGCGGTAAATAATTTTGTCAAGGAAGAAGTTATTAATTAAAGAACAAAAAATAGAACCCATTAAATTTTCTGGGACATTAACTCTAATTAGCATTTTTATTAAATATGACAAAAAATTCGTATAAAAATACCAAGTTTTTATTATAATTTTTAAATAATTGAGCGTTAATTTATTTTTTTAATTTTTTTATTAAATTATTTTTTTAAATCTATATTATTAAGAGAATAAGCAAAATTTTGTTTTATCTCTAGATACATAATTAAGAAATTACCTTGTATCTTGTGAACTAATAATATTTTTAAAGATATAAGCTCATCCTGTAGTTACACTCATCGAGACCTTTCATTTGAGTACCCACATCAATTTTTCATATATTTTATATATATTATGTATATGTATATATGAAAAATATATCAAAAATGCATGTGGGTACTCAAATGAAAGCTCTTGATGAGTGTAACATCAGAATGAGCTTATATCTATAAAAATGTCAATAATTAAGAAATGACATGGTATTTTGTCTACTGATGATATTTTTAACGATATAAGCTCATCCCGCAATTACGCGTATTAAGACCTTTTATTTGAGTACCCACATCAATTTTTCATATATTTTATATATATTATGTATATGTATATATAAAAAATATATCAAAAATGCATGTGGGTACTCAAATGAAAGCTCTTGATGAGTGTAACATCAGGATGAGCTTATATCTATAAAAATGTCAATAATTAAGAAATGACATTGTATTTTGTTCACTGATGATATTTTCAACGAAATAAGCTCATTCTGGAGTTAGACTCACCGAGACCTTTCATTTGAGTACCTACATCAGTTTTTCATATATTTTATATATTTATATATATGTATATATGAAAAATATATGAAAATGCATGTGGGTACTCAAATGAAAGCTCTTGATGAGTGTAACATCAAGATGAGTTTATATTTTTAAAAATGTCAATAGTTAAGAAATGACCCTGTATCTCGTGAGCCTTTGACATTTTTAAAGATAAAAGCTCATCCCGATGTTACACTTATCAAGACCTTTCATTTGAGTATCCACATCAATTTTTCATATATTTATATACATGTATATATGAAAAATATATCAAATTGCATGTGGGTACTCAAATGAAAGCTCTTGAATAGTGTAACATCAGGATGAGCTTATATCTTTAAATACGTCAATATTTAAGAAAGTACAGTGCAATGTAACAAAAGTCATTATTTAATAAAGCAAAATTTTATTTATCCATAGTTCACAAGTCACAGCAGTCACATAGTGACTGCAAAGTTGCTAGTCATTTATTAATTTAATTTTTCTTTGTCAATAATTAAAAATAAAAAGTTGTTGATAAAAATAAAATTAATTTTTACTCAAAAAAAAATAATCAATTAATACTTGCCTATTTATTCTACGCGTCTCTATCTTACATATTAATTAAATTCTACATTTAATTACCTCATTTGGATTTTAGTCTCAAGCCAAAAACATTCATTAATAATAATTATAATTTATAATAATTGTTGATCAATAATTAATTAATTATTAATTATTAGTCGTAATATAATTAACTTGTAGTCACTCTATTCCATACCTTCGTTCTCCCACGGAATTTCCAGGACCCACTTGGCTAAATGGATGGATACAATTACAACAAAAGACCTTGGGAGAATGTATTATCAATTATCACCCTTAATCTTTAATTATTAATTATAAATTATCATTATCAATTATCATTTATATGATTATGTATTAATGTTGATTTCTTGGTTTTTCACCACGCTCAAACGCTCCTCTGGCTACACGTAATTAAGTGTAAAATTTTATTTTTATTATTTATTATAATTATTATCATCAGATATATGTTTTTATTTTATTATTTTAAATTCTTTAAATATTTAATACAACAAGTCAGGAATTTTTAATTTATATCTACTACTTTCATAAAATTACGACGGGTCGGGAACAAAGGAGCGTTTTAGTCAATCCCAATTACTCTTTTTTTCACAAACGAGTGTCATGTTTATATTTTTATCCAAGTGGGTATCCAATTAAATCCGAGATATATTTAAATATATATATATATGTATTGTAGAATAAGTGAGACATATACCTGCACCCAAGGCACGTTTTATACTTTCACTCCGTTCAATAAAAGGTCCACGCTTTATTTTTTATTGTTTGTCCATTTACGGTAATTTTATTTATTATTATTATCAGGGTAGAAAAAAAATTTTTTTTTTTTTCAATAATTAAATTGTTTATTTCAATTATTCTAAAGAAAAAAATTATGTTTGAGAATTTGTTATTTAATTGATTTTATTTTAATGTTTGTAAAATTTTTATTGATTGGTTTTTTTGAATTTTTTTATTTTAAACAATTTTTAAAAATTTTAATTTTCTACCCTGATTTTAATAGAGATTATACTTCAAAAACATAATTTTAATACATCAAGTAATTTAAAAAAATTGAAGTATAATTTCTAAATATATTACCGTAATTCACTCAAAATCAATCTTTACTCACAAATAAAAGTAATGATTTCCGAGTCGAAATTTTGTAACACTGAACTTTATTGGGCATAAAAAAAATTCATTTCATGGAATTCTTTATTTAAAAATTCAAACTTTGTATAGTTAAATATTACTTATTAATTATACTAAAAAATATTTAATAAAATATTTTTAATTTAACGATAAATATAAGTATATTGTCATGTAAGTTCTTAAAAAAATATCAAGGATAAGTTCAGTGTAACATACAAAGGTATTTGTTTAGTTTTACGGTGACTTTTTTGGTAAAAATCTAAAAATTTAACCTTTACAGTAAAAAAATTTTTTTAGTGTCATTGCAAAGGTCTTGACTTGAATTTGTGCCTTTTCAAGGTTTCATATCACTCTCACCGATAGTCAATTTATTATGATAAGTATTTAGGTTGCATTCAGAAATGCACTATCTCTAGATACATAATTAAGAAATGACCTTGTATCTCGTGAACTATTGACATTTTTAAAGATATAAGCTCACCCTGACATTACATTCATCGAAACCTTTCATTTGAGTACCCTCATCAATTTTTCATATATTTATATATATTATATATATATATATATGTATATATGAAAAATACATCAAAAATGCATGTGGGTACTCAAATGAAAGCTCTTGATGAGTGTAACATCAGAATGAGCTTATATCTTAAAAAATGTCAATAATAAAGAAATGACCTTGTATCTAGTTAATTATTGACATTTTTAAAGATATAAGCTCATCCTGACATTACGCGCATCGAGACCTTTTATTTGAATACCTACATCGATTTTTCATATATGTTGTATATTTATGTATATGATATATATGTATATATAAAAAATATATCAAAAATGCATGTGGGTACTCAAATGAAAGCTCTTGATGACTGTAACATCGGGATGAGCTTATATCTTTAAAAATGTCAATATTTAAGAAAGTACAGTGCAATTTCACAAAAGTCATTGTTCCATAAAACAAAGTTTTATTTCATAGAAATAAAATTTTTTAATTAATTAAAAGAAAGAAGTAATTATTAAAAAAAAATTCTAAATAAAATTTTCAAGTTTTTAAATTTTGTGAACCGTAAAACTAAACAAATTTTCGACTCGTGTACATTTAAATTCGTCATACCTGCCTTTCACTCTTACAACAACATTACATTACCCCGTAAAATTATCCATTAAACATTACTTATAATTAATAATTATAATTATTATTTATAATTTATCATACATTTAATTATTGTCAAACAGACAGCATTTTATTATTGTTAATAATTAATGAATTTAACAAATTAATTAATTATCAATAGACACTAGACCGATTTACAAAATAATTGGTTTTAAAATCGTTTTGTTAATATTTTATTTTATACTTTTCTAATACTTTGTGCAAAATTTACACCATTACAACCCGCCGTCCCTATTAATCGATATCGGTGACCCAAGAGTGGCCCATTATTAGTATAGATAAACTTTAAATACAAGTACGAAATTTATGTATACATACACGCGTTAAAAGATGTATAATTATCCTAATACTTTCTATAAACTTTTTAATTTTTATTTTATTTTATTTTTTGCCCAACGTCTCTCATCTGATTATTTTATAGGAAGGTCTTATACTTATTAAGTATTTTTTTTTTTTTTTTTTTTTTTTTTTAATTAAAATTCATTTATTGTCGCCATTTCGTCGTATTGTTTTTTATTATCAGTTAATTCTGAACTCCGATTAGATCAATTTATTTTTTTATAAATTATTGTCATGATCTTCAGATCCTCAAAATTATTGTCATTATTTTTTTTTTAATTTTATAAATCCTTCCTATTAATTATTTTTATTTTTTTTTAAACGGACGTTAATTCCTATTTAAATGTATACATATGTTTTATTTATTTATTTATTTATTAATATATTAAATATTGAATCTGATAGGTCTTAAAAATATCTTCTAATTTCTTCCGTAAGATTTAAGTCCTTAAAATCTAAATACTTTCTTACAACCTTGTTTTTTTTTTTTTAAATCTTTCATAGTTATTTTTTTATAATTTCTCTTAATTGCTCTTTCTTTTTGTGATTTTTTTTTTTTTAATTATTATTATTGTTGTATTTATATTTTCAATCAGTTTTAATTGTACGTCTTTTATATCTTGCTGAAATTTAACGGTCTTTATTTTAAAAGGGAATTTAAATTGAGACGATTCATCTGAGGAGAGAATGAATGCCAGTGATTATTAAGAGTGTAATGAGTGAGCTTGACATTATGCTGTCTGATGCGGCGGTCAATTCAGATTTATATCCTGGATCTTTAACGTGGATTTTCCAACCTAGATTTTTGTGGGTGTAGCACTAAAAATATTTTAAAATAAATGTTTAGTAGGCTGATAATTTGGAAAGAAATAATTAATACTTTTTTTTTACAGTCTAGAAATATTTTAGCGTAGTATCAAGATGAACTTATATCTTAAAAAATCTCAATAATAAAGAAATGACGTTGTATTTCGTCTACTGATGATATTTTTAATAATATAAGCTCATTCTGGGGTTAAACTTATTGAGACCTTTTATTTGAATACCCACACGAATTTTTTCATATATTTGATATTTCTCATATTTGTCAAATATATAAAATATATAAAAATTGATGTGGGTATTCAAATGAAAGGTGTCGATGAGCGTAAAATCATGATGAGCTTATATCATAAAAAATGTCAATGATTAAAAAAAAACGTTGTATTTTGTCTACTGATGAGATTTTAATGATATAAGCTCATCCTGGAGTTACACTTATCAAGACCTTTCATTTGAGTACCCACATCAATTTTTTATATTTTTCATATATTTATATATATTACATATATATAAATATATGAAAAATATATCAAAATGCATGTGGGTATTCAAATGGAAGGTCTCGATAAGTGTAACTCCAAGATGAACTTATATCGTTAAAAATATCATCAGTGGACGAAATACGACGTCATTTCTTAATTATTAACATTTTTTAAGATATAAGCTCATCCTGATGTTACACTCATCAAGAGCTTTCATTTGAGTACCCACACGTATTTTTTATATATTTTAATATATTTTATATATTTCACAAATATGAGAAATATCATATATATATATAAAATATATGAAAAAATTCGTGTGGGTAATCAAATGAAAGGTCTCGACAAATGTAACTCCAGGATGAGCTTATATCTTAAAAAATGTCAATGGTTCAGAAATTTCTTTGTATTTCGTCCACTGATGATATTTTTAACGATTTAAACTCATCCTAGAGTTACACTCATCAAGACCTTTCATTAGAATACCCACACTAATTTTTTCATATCTTTTATATATATGATATATATCATATTTGTGAAATATATAAAATATATCAAAAATACGTGTGGGTACTCAAACGAAAGGTTTCGATGAGCGTAACATCAGGATGAGCTTATATCGTTAAAAATTTCATCAGTGGACAAAATATACCGTATTTTTATTATTTCTAGTTTATAAACATTAACAAATCCCTCTATCAGTGTCTGAAAACCCAAAATAAATACCAAAAAAATCCTACCTGGTAATAAACAAGGTCAGGAGTATCAGGCGCGACGGTCCAAACAAGCTTAGCAGGTTCTCCTTGATCACAATCAAGCCTTAGGGTGTCGAAGAAGCTGGCAAAAGTAAGTGAATTTTCGCTCATATCAACAGTTTTGTGAGCCCACTCACAAAACCGCCCAGCAGCAGTAGGATAAGGATATCCTTCATCGTTCCAATCGACTCCGGCAAAGACCCGCTCATCTCTTTGCTGCTCATCGGTCTTCTGGCCGAAACCACCTTCTGGACTTGCAGTAATGTACAAAGGATGATAGCGCGCTGGATTTGATGGGTCAACGCCGCCCTCGACGATGAAGGTGTAAGTCTGGCCACGTTCTACGGTTATCTCAGGAATCAGGAGGTCGTTTATGTACCAGCAGATTCCCCAGGAAGGCTGGCCAGTTATCTTCGAATAGCCGCGCTTTCCTCCAGTTTGCCCGATCCTCGCGGTCAGGTTGTTCTCGTCGATTATTGTCTCAATTGGCCAGGCGTCCAATTCTATTTCCTCGTTAGGGATGTCGTACAGGGAATTTATACACTCGTGGACGTTCTTTGATGTAAAGTCGATCTTTATGTCTTCGTCTGTTCTGTCACTTTGAGTGTGAGCGTTAGCTTCTCCTCGGCTATTCAGAGTTCCTATTGCTGCTATTATGCTTGTTGCGCCGTTTGGGATCATTCGGTCTTTTTCTGGCTCGTTTGTACTCAATGGTCTCATGTAGGTTACTGAAAAAATTTTTTATTTGATTTCTGTATTTTTTTATGTTATTGTTATTTCTATATTTTATTATTTAAATTTATATATTATTTCTTAATTTATATATCGACTTTCTAATTGACAGATTACCTAATTCTATATTTTTTAGAAGGTAATCTAAATTATTGAGAAAATAAGAAAAATTTTGTTTCCAAGATCATTTTATCTCTAGACACATTATTAAGATATGACCTTTTATCTTGTGAAATATTGACATTTTTGAAGATATAAGCTCATCTTGATGTTACACTCATCAAGACCTTTTGAATACCCACATCAATTTTTCATATATTTATATATATATTATATATATGTATATATGAAAAATTCATCAAAATTCATGTGGGTATTCAAATGAAAGCTCTTGATGAGTGTAACGCCAGGATGAGCTTATATCTTTAAAAATGTCATTAATTAAGAACTGACATTGCTATCTTGTCAACTAATGATATTTTTAAAGTTATAAGCTCACTCTGACATTACACTTATCGAGACCTTTCATTTGAGTACCCACATCAATTTTTCATATATTTCATATATTTATATATATTATATATATGTATGTATGAAAAATATATCAAAAATGCATGTGGGTACTCAAATGAAAGCTATTGATGAGTGTAACATCGGGATGAGGTTATATCTTTAAAAATGTCAATAGGCAAGAAACTACAGTGCAATTTAACAAAATTCATTATTTTATAAGGTAAAATTTTGACTTTAAGATAGTCATATGATAAAAATAGTTTTTTTATTGAATTTTAGTGTCATTAAAAAGGTTTTGACTCGAATTCACGTCTTTTCAAGCTTTCATATCATTCTCACTGATAGTCAATTTATTATGATAAGTATTTAGGCTGAATTTGAAAATGCACTATCTCTAGATACATATGTTAGAAATGGCCTTGTATCTTGTGAAATATTGACATTTTTAAAGATATAAGCTTATCCCGATGTTACACTCATCAAGACCTTTCATTTGAGTACCCACATCAATTTTTCATATATTTTTCATATATACATTTATATAATATATATAAATATATGAAATATATGAAAAATTGATGTGGGTACTCAAATAAAAGGTCTCTATGAGTTTAATGTCGGGATGAGCTTATATCGTTAAAAATGTCAATAGTTCNNNNTATATCATAATAATATAATAATATAATGAATGATGATGTGGGTACTCAAATGAAAGGTCTTGATGAGTGTAACATCGGGATGAGCTTATATTTTTAAAAACGTCAATGGTTAAAAGTCATTATTCGATAAAGCAAAAATTTATTTCTTCATAGTTTACAGATTTTTTTTTTACATTTAATCTGTTCTTATTTAAAACTTATTTTCAATTTTTTTGAACTTCAATTGTTCTTGTTGATAAAATATGTGAGCTTTGACTAAAAATTTTGAAAAATTCTTTTTCACTAAATTTAAACTATTTCAAAGGCTTAATCAAAACCCGCTTTCGTGTAACATTTAAATTTCCACTCTTCTAAAGAACTAATGTTTGATATATTATCCGACCCGTGTTTACCCAGTCACCAGTTACTTATCAAAGGATACTATTTTAGTTTTGTCAATAAAAAGTCTATTTATCCTTTCGGATGATTTTAAATGCGCAAGTTAAATATTAAAATTAAAAAAAAAATTTCAATTGAAAAAAAAAAATTGATTTTAAGTTTCTATTTAATTATTGATAAAGAATTTCATAAAATTTGTAAATATCAAATTTTAAAAAAATTTTCTTCCCAATAATTAATTAAAAAAAAAAAAATTTCAGATATTTTTCTATCAACTGTATATACTTCAAACAATTCACCTAATTATTATTTAATGTATTTTTGCATTTTTTTCTCCATATTAAAATTTAATATTTTTTTCTTGGATCAAACCTTAATGCAAAAAATTTAGAATTCAATTTTTTCTAAAAATCATTAAAAAAAAATTTTTTTTACCTGTAGTAACGCCGTTTTTACGTTCACCATCAATAAGAACAGCGTCATTTTTACCACCGACGCGTTCATCAGGACAGACACCTTTTCTGCCATCGCACTGAGCAAGGTCCGACAAATAATAATCCTCAGCAAAAAATCTTTTCTTCCTCTTGTCGTAACCAACTACGACAACGTCCCCGCCAGTCATTTCCCTCCTGCCCTCTCGCCCTGACAACCCGAAAGCGATATACTGGTCCTCTCTTATCCTCCCTGAAACGCGGATTTGAACATCCTCGCCCATCAGCTCCCACTGGACCTGGACTCTGCCGTCCAACAGTTCCTTGCAATTGCTCAGCTCGGTGAGCGTTATCGGCGGCATTGGCGCTATCGGCGGGCTGCTGCTCGTCTGAATTTAAATTAAAATTGAAATAATTAATACTCGATACCTTGGTAAATCCTTCGGAGCTTAATTGAGAATTTTTAATAGTTTTACTATTAAAACGGGCTCGTAAGTCTACTTACTGGATTATACCACCACGGAGGCTGTTCCAGTCAAAGGGAATAATTTTAATAATTTTATTAGTTGTTTTTAGTTAGTGGAGAAAAAAAAAATTAATTATTATAATTACCGTGATTTTAGTCTGTCCAAGGGCAGGCGGAACGTCTAGGTCTTTCGGGATCATTACATGCCCGAAATTATGCTTGTACTGCACGCACCAAACAGACAACCAATCGATGTCAAAGACAGTTAAATTTCCCGGTAGAACGATTTCAATATCCTCTCCTTGGTAGCCCCGCAGCTTTGTCAGTCTGTGTACAAAGACAAGTCTAATTAGTTCCTAGTTCTCTCAACCACTACAGAGCTTGTTGACTTAATATTAATTTCAGGAGCTACGATCGTTACCCGTGTTTAAAAAAGGACATGTATTAGCTTTTTTTAAATAATTTTTTATAATGTAAAAAAATTATTTGGATTTTATTCTTGAAATTTTAGATTTATTTCTGCACTGAAAGGAAAAATTTATTTTTTAAAAAATTATGAAAAATTTATTTGTGGGAAATTTTTAATAATTTTATTTCTTAGAAGAAATATTAATTTTTCTTATAAGGTAAAAGACCCAACTATTGACACTGGCCTAATTTTTTGACACTTGTAATTTAATTCTAATTAAAAAAAAATTAAATGTTCTCAAAAAAACAATTTTCTTAAAATTTATAATTATTAATTTATTAGAGTTGATTTTATTTTTTTTTTTTAATTAAAATAAAATTGCAAGTGTCAATAACTAAAATTTTTTTTTTTGGTTTTGAAAGGTAAACAATTTGGGAATTTTCATACAAAATTGTTTTTTTTTCTTCTAAATCTAGATAAATTTTTTTATAAGAAGAAAGTTACTGTGAGAAATAATATTTATTCCTTCAGTTAAGAATTAAAATTGTTCAAAATTTTAAACAAATTAATTTCTAGTCACAATGCCAATTTTTTTAAAAAGAAATTTTTTCTGTGTCTGAAAAATTAGGTGTGAATTTTAATTTATAATTTCATTTAAAAAAATTAAGTTAATTTAAGAGAAAAATTCTTAAACCAAGAAAATCATTTTTAAAAATTTCATTGTGTTGATTTAAGAAGAAAAATTTAAAAAATAAGACATTTCTCTTGGTTTGAGTAAATTTTACTTAATACAAATACAAGACTTTTTTTTTTTTTTTTTTTTCATTTTTTATAAAGACATTGAAACTCTTATAAATTATTTCCTTGGTTCACGAATTTTTCTATAAAATTAACTTATTTTTTTTTTTCAAACTACAATTCAAAATTGTCTATTTATTATTTTTTCTTAAAAATTTACCACTAAAATTAAAAAAACAATTCGACGTACAAACAAAGCCTAAATATTTAGATGGTAATTAAGATTTTTAATTTATTTTTTTGATAAATCAATTGACTAATTATATTGAAAACAAATAACTATACTATCAATGATAAATAAAAAAAAATAACAATTATATCTGTTAAACTTTTCCCCTTAAAAAAAATAAAGCTTCTCAACAGTTTATCGCGAAGAAGTCTTTCAGTAAACTTGCGTTTAAAAATAAAACCATTGTCCATAAATTTTCTAAAAGTAATTTCAATTGACTCGGCAGCAATTAGAGCTCCTTATATTAAGTAACTACCATCCACATCTACATATATTTATCATACACAGTAGGTCTATAAATATATAGAAAAGTATATAGATATATAAAGGTATATCTTTACCCTCCAACTTCATTGGGAACTTTAAAGCCCATTGTGTTGGGTTCTGGCCCCGTTCCAACCCAGAAGTAGGCATCGGGTCCAGCTCCGTCGTAATGTAGGTTCGGTATGTACAGAGTTTTGCTATCTAGGATACTTATGTTTCCGCTCCGGAGTCCGTGAGCCAGCCGGGAAAACTCGGGCAGCACTCGGGGCCGTGGAATTTCAAGATGCGCCGGGAATACGATGTCCCCGAAGTCGACCTGCAAAATAAATCATCATTAAATTAGTATTATCAATTATCATTCATGTTACAATTTATAATACACTGTAAAAAATTTTTAGTGAATATTTTTTAACACTATAATAATTTATTTGTTAAGAAATTCTGATAATTGCCATATAAACATTAACTTGAGTAATCTATATTATTGAGAGAATTACAAAAATTTTGTGTCCAGGATAGTCAAATGATAAAATCGGTTTTTTTTAGTTAAATTTAATGTCATTGTAAAGGTCTTGACTTTAATTTATATCTTTTCAAAGTTTCATATCATTCTCACCAATAGTCAATTTATTATGATAAGTATTTAGGCTGCATCCGAAAATATTTCATTTCTAGATACATAATTAAGAAATGACCTTGTATCTCGTGAACTATTGACATTTTTAAAGATATAAGCTCATCCTGATGTTACACTCATCGAGACCTTTCATTTGAGCACCCACATCAATTTTTTATATATTTATATATATTACATATATGTATATATGAAAAATATATAAAAATGCATGTGGGTACTCAAATGAAAGCCTTTGATGAATGTAAGATCATGATGAGTTTATATCTTTAAAAATGTCAATAATTAAGAAATGACCTTGTATTTTGTGAACTACTGACATTTTTAAAGATATAAGCTCATCCCGACATTACACTCATCAAGACTTTTCATTTGAGTACCCACATCAATTTTTCATATATTTTATATATTTATATATATTATATATATGTATGTATGAAAAATATATCAAAAATGCATGTGGGTACTCAAATGAAAGCTCTTGATGAGTGTAACATCTAGATGAGCTTATATCTTTAAAAATGTCAATATTTAAGAAAGTACAGTGCAATTTAACCAAATTCATTATTCAATAAACTAAAATTTTACTTATTTCTAGTTCACAAACCACAGCAGTCACATAGTGACTGCAAGATTGCTAGTATTTAATTAATTAATATTATTTAACTCAACGTAGTAATGTTAATAATTTATTATACGTCAAAATTTATCAAAAAAAACCTTAAAATAAAATAATCTTTTTAAAAATATGGTTCAATATTCCAAATTTTTTTAAAAATACATATAATTTATATTTACAACTCTGAACATTGGATAAATTGTTTAAATTAAAGTTCATTTTAATCTAAAATTTCCGTAATCATTTCCGACAAAAATCCACATTTACTCCGCTAACAAAAAAAAACAAAATCAATGTTTAATTTCTTCACTTCAAAATTCACTCCCGACTTTTCACAGTGTATAACATTAATCTTATCACTTATGATAAGCACGACTTATATTATAACTGCAAAGTAGATCGATTTGTCAATTGTCGATGTGTAGAGTCAGGACAGATTTTCCCTGCGGTCCAAGCAAGTCGAGAAGTAAAAAAAAAATAAAAAATAGGGAGCGAAAATCACTAAAGGGAAAATGAAGAAATTTATTCTTCCCGGTTTAGTTTTGTCGGGAGTTGAAATCTAACATAATTCAATGTTAGAAGTTATATTAGTGTAACCCTGATATGATAGTTAGATCGTTTATCTGGTAAGCCGGATTTTAGTACCCTGGTATTACAGGGGCGTCCCTTTAAGGGAACTCCGTCACTTTTCCCCGTCGTCGGCATATACTGTCGGAATATAATGTAATGTAATGTAATCGAGAACAGCGGAGCAGTAGGCAAGTGATCTATCCTCAGGCATCAGGCATACTCGTTGACGCCCCTGCAACCATTATTCGAGGGGAGTCGCTGCCAAGAGCTCCTCCACCCTCTGAATTCAGTCTAGTACAGATACTGAGCCAAATCAGTGTACATTGGGATATAAGGACCTATATGGATCCTCTAAGAGCATTTATATTTAATTATTTTTTTTTTTTTTATATCATCGCCGAAAGCTGGGCCGGTTAAGATAAACCGCTTATGCTACAAAAATAAACCAACTAACGATTATTTTATTTTTTTCAATTATTGGGATTTTTATTTGGAAATAAATTGGTGATTAAAGATTTTTTTTTAACACTTTAAATTTTTTTTAATGGAATTATTCAATTTGCAATTTTTATTTAAAAGTTTAAACAATGTTCGAAAAATTTGACTTTTTATTTTTAGTAAGAAGCTTATACTAAATTCATAAAAAATTTTATTTAGACAGAAATGTATATTAGACAAAAAGGTTTAATGAAAAAATAGAAGATTGTTTATTAGAAGTAGAAAAAAATTTAATATGAACAAAATAATCAGGTTAAAAAATATTTAGAATTTTTTTGTTCAAAAATTGGTTTAAAAATAAAATAATTTTAAAAAAGAAAGAAATTTCAGTTTTTTAGATAAAAAAAATACTATAAAAGTGTAGATATAAGTAGATAAATTTTATTAATGATTTTTAGTTGACATAAAAATTTTATTTATCATTAATATACCTTTAGAAGGAATTGAAAAATTTATTTTGATAAATTTTTAATGATTATATAGTAAATCTGCCGTAAATAGAACAATGTTTAAATATTTTGATTTATTGCTTAAAAAAAACCAGGTAAGAATTTTTTATTCATATCAATTCATAAATATTAAGAGAATAAGAAAAATGTTTCCGGGATAGACACATGATAATATTGATTTTTTAAGTGAAATTTAATGTCATTACAAAAGTCTTCATTTAAATTTGTGCCTTTTTAAGATTTTATTTCATTCTGACCGATAGTCAATTTATGATAATAAGTATTTAGGCTGCATTAAAAAATGCTCTATCTCTAGATACATAATTAAGAAATTACCTTGTATCTTGTGAAATATCAACGTTTTTCAAGATATAAGCTCATTCCGATGTTATACTCATCAAGACCTTTCATTTGAGTACCCACATCTATTTTTCATATATTTTATATATTTATATATATATATATATATATATATATATATATA